AAGCAGTTTTAGTATTTTAATGAAAACTGACAATATAGATTCAATGAATGGTGCTCGGACCAAACAGGGTGAGACAGCATTTAGTGTTTATGCTTCAATCAAACCTGCAGTGTGTGGAATCTATTAGCTTTTAAAATCTTTGTCTTTTTGTAGCTTTTATGTTAAATTTTAACTTAAACGTTTAAATTATTGCATTCTTGATTTTAATGTTTTCCTTTTCTATATATTTGGATTGTTCGGTCTTTGTGAAGCACGCTGAATTGCTTTTGTATGTGTTATATAAATAAAGCTGAGTTTGTCAGATGGATTTTCTTCGATCAGTGATCAATAGTGAGATGTTCTAGCTTTAGAAGGGCTTTTTTACAGACCTTCAACTGACATCGCTTCAGTCCAGCGCACGCACTTTGGATATGAAGTCCTAGCTGTGACTCACCTGACAGCTGCTGGTCGTTCTGGAAGCTTTCAAACAGAAAAAACGAATTTCAAAAGATTTACAAAATAAGAGACTTCTATAACACAATGAAGAGTTTTTATTTTGTAGTTATGAGACTGACTTGTAAGGAGAAAATATCAGTTATTCAGCAGCATGAACGCTTCAGGATAAACGTTATTATTGCAGTCAAGCAGCAGAGTCCCAGTGGTTCTGTATAGCAGTTTATTCACAGTAACACTTTTTACTCCTCAGTTCAAGACATAACAAAACAGAGTTTCAGGCATCGAGACATCTTAACAAAGGAACAAACATCATATTTGGCAAAACGTTTCCAGCCATGCATTTAAGAGACATGAGAAACATAATCAGCAGCAAACACAAGAAGTGACGTGAAGAGAGGAGGTCGCCTCCTTTCAGCAGGGAGACAGAGGCGTTTCAAAGGATTACTCCGCTGCTGAAAATAGTCCCTCGGATGCTGCACCAGTTTGAACATGGAAGTCCCAGAAAGTATCCCTCCAGCTTTTATTGTGAAGGATCAACACTCAGACCAGTGAAACTCATTTCTGCAGCTGGAAAGTAAGCGAACCAAAAACTGCAGTGCACAGATTTCTCCTTTAAATAACACAAAACATGAGAAAAGTGACGTCCATCCTCTCATC